TCTCGGCCAGGATGGTGCCGAGGCTGCGCGGCAGGAGCCGGGAGATGCGCAGGAGAGCCCCTGGCCGGGAGGACACAAACACGGGCCCTGAGTGACGCTCGCAGGACAGCAGCCGCCCGCCTCAGGAGAGGCATCCAGAGCGCCCCGAAGGAGCCCGTGCTCCTCGCGCCGAGCTCCTGCGCACTGTGAGCTTCTCCTGTGCTTCCACATGCACCCCTGTTCCTCGCACATCATCTTTCCAAGCCAATCTCCCCGTTCACAAATACTTCATAGAGGATAACACGGTAAAAGTGAATAAAATGTTCCCAGAATACGCAGACATTCGTACTAGTCGTCTCTGGCTGTCTGCAGAGCACATCTGGTGATTTCAGGGCCATGTATCACTAAACACTAAGGTCTAATTTGGTTTGTGCTACGTAGCTCTGTGGGGCTCAGCAGAGTGGCACTAGCGACCAAAAATCCATCCTTGTCCCCAAGCAGAACATACTGTAAACGTAGTGATTCAGGTTAGTGAGTCACACAGAGACTGAATATAAAACAAGGGCTGTTTTTGACTCGTTTCTTTTGAACGCCTTAGAAGGAATAAGCATGAACAAGGAGACTGAATGAGCAGGGAGCCGTTTGCTGAGCTGCGCTACGGTGCTACTACCCAATGGAGAGGGAAGTGCGGCTGTACTGAGACTGTAGCGCTTGCTGCTAAGTGTGGAAACCGGGAGGTAGGACGGACTAAATGGCAGGACAGGGCCATGCGATGCCTTAAAGCCAAAGACAAGGAGCTCAAGCTTCATGAGACACAGGGAGAGGACCCGAGGAGATTCAAACAGAAGAGACATTATGGTTAGGAGCAGAACGCTAAATACAGGAGCCACATTTAGGGGGGGTGAAAGAAGGGTGGGAGGATACCCACCTTGCTCGTGCTCACGTGAAATTCAGCCAGTTAACACATTCTTTTTGACTTTACTGCCATGTAGCCATTTCCTGCCCTGTATTTCCATTCTGTCTAGATCCAGAGGAGAAAGCATGGAAATCTTTTCCCTCTCTAGTATTTGCCATGAGGGTTTTTCAGGGTTTTACATTTGCATTCCTCACAGGAAAACTCCAGGATTGCAAAGGGAGAGCAAACTAGCTGTTGGGGCAGGGAATGCCACTGCACTTCATGAAGTCTCCGCTCCTCTTTTGTCCCTGCCAGTGGCCTATGTTGTTTGACATAGTTTTGGTTGTTTTCTAATGGGAGCTGAGTAGGAGTGTGTCAGAGGTCCGCAGTATTTTTAGAGGAAACTTCCCTACTCCAGTTTACCTGGTCTGCTGAAAAATTTTGTTGACTTCTTCCAGGAGAGAGCTATTTGGGGAGGAATTTTGCCCAGGAGCTCAATAATACGAGCAACATGATCTGGATGGAGGAGAGAAAACACATCTAGATGCAAAGATTATGACTCTTTTGTCAGTGAAATCAATAAAACTAATGGAGTCTTACCATCATCTCTGGAGAAATATTTCCCAGGTCGAGGATCAAATAGACACTCTCCAGTTGCCATTTCAAATGCCTAGAAGTGGAGCAGCATTGTTAATGCACTGGCTGATGTGGAGTTTTTCTTTACCATTAACTCTGACAGTACCGGTGGCAATTTCCCTTCCTATTACACAAAACCAATCCTAAGACATAGAAACACACGCACTCCTTCTGTCCATACCCTGTCACTGTGAAATAACACTTTTTGCTCCTGTAGGATGAAAACCCGCATGTGCCTGATTTGTTCACGTCTATCAGTTTCCCTATACAGAGCAGGAATTGCCTTACAGCATAAGCTAATTGAAGTGAATTTTATCAGGAGCCTACATGTCTGAAATTAATGAATGCAGAAAGCCTGTTTGTCCTCCTGTGACTCAGTAACAGCAAAGAAATCTTGCTCTGCAGATAGCTGGGTAGCTGAGGCCATGCATTCCCTGGCCTGGAAATGTCAGTCATCTTCGCTGCATGCAGTGTGTGGCGTCCAATCCTACCAGGCAGCCTGTGCTCCAGATATCCGCGGGAGTGCCATAGTCTAACCCAAGAAGCACCTCCAGGGCACGGTACGGTTGCGTCTGGATCTCCTTGGAAAGAGGCTTGTACTGGAACAGAAACAAACTACGTTTGGTTAACATCCATAAAGTAAGAGCAGTATTTGTTGTCACGAGCTTTCAGCACAAGGACTGGTGACACGGAATTGAATGCACATATTACACTGTGCGCAGGGAACAGCACATGCACACTCCGCTCCCTTGACAGCAGGGTGAATTTATCCCCTAAAAATTCCACAGAAAACATGGTTTTGGATTTCTGGTTGTAGGGACAGTCTCCATCCATGGAGATAGTCCAGAGCCATCTGGACATGGCCCTGGGCAAGCTGCTCTAGGTGACCCTCCATGAACAAAGGGGCTGGACTGAGCAATTTCCAAAGATCCCTTCCAACCTCAGCCATTCTGTGATTCTGTAGCTAACCGTGAGCCGAATAAAGGTCCAAAGTTGACAGTATCTCCAAGAGTACAGATCCCAGCTCTGAACTCGGACTGCTGAATATAACACATGCTGAAATCAGCATCTCTTTAGTGCTCTCTGAAATAGCTATTCAGCTGTGAATAGGTGGCAGCCAGCCAAGGTGTGATGGAAAGGAGCAGGTAGCGTCTCGCCTCATGTTGGAACTGAGGCTCTGAGCAGACTCACTGTCCAGCACGCACTGCCCAGGTCTGCAATCTTCACTTCTATGTTCATTAAATCACAATGTTCCAGCTGATGGCCAAGATCACCCCCTAGGTGGAAAGGACAGAGGGATTCAAGTGTTTCTCCAGACCGTCAGGTACATCACTTACTACATACATTCCTGACTTTAAAGATTTTCAGCCTTAAAGATCACGCAGCTTTGTGATGAAACCATATGTAAACGTTTCAGTGCCTGCAAACACCACAAACTACCCTGTATGTAAAGCTGTGAGGATCTGCTCTCAGGTTGTGGTGACTTTACTGGCATCATGCTAAGGTTATTAACAAATACCTGATTTGTAGTTGTTCTCTGCACAAACCTACAGGCAACATCACATTTATGCAGGCAACTTGAGAAACTTGTGGTAACTTAGGTGTGATGTTTGTGTTAAGCAGAGAGAGAAGAGAATTGCCACCATGAATTGCCACCATGAACCGCCGGCCACTGCAGGAGTGGTGAGCTTTTTCATTTCATAAATTATATCTCCCGCTGCCTCTGAGTTTCACTCCTAGTAATACGCTTTTAAGTCTCTTTTTTGGTTCAGCAAATCTGTACTGCTTACCTGGTCCCTTTAGCCCCACATCTGTTCTCTGGCTACAGTCGACAACATCAGGTAGAAACTTTTGGAGAGTCCTGTCCCCTGCGTACAGCAGGATGTTCTCTGGCTTGATGTCTGTATGAATAATCCGACAGCGTTTGTGCAGGAAGTGCAGGCCTGCTAGCACCTGAGCAACACAAGAGAATAATTCACATTAATGACATGAAGGTCTCCACTTTCTCTCACCCCAAACAGCCTTTAGTGCTGTCAGAGCAGAGTCCACCACAACGAGTGTGTGATCTGTGAAGGTTCTGGTGTGGGGGAAAGATGACACTGGTGATGATAACTTCATACAATAAGTTATTTTTGCATAATGGATCCTCAGTATTAACTTGGAGTTGCACCCAAAACGGTGTCGTGGGTCAGGGTTCTTGTGAGAGCCCACGCAGGTGGCCTCATCTCAAGGCTCAACAGGAGTAGCTGCCACCTGGACCTATGGATTCAGCGTGGTAAGCGATACGGAGCCTGCAGATCCCAGCAGTGAAGGGGTGTATTTGGAGGATGCAGAAATGACACTCAGCCAGAAGGAGGTGAGAAAATCCACAGATGTCAGCATGGATGGACAAGGCTGGAGAATTAACAAGTATATGCAAAAGGCTGCAGTCTTACAGAAGACAGGAGCAGGGGAGGTATTATGGTCACAACTCCGACTTATCTCCTGAATATCCACTTCTTGCTGGTTGGCTCTGGCATCCTTGCATCCCTGTTACTAGTGCATTATTGCTGGGCTGGAAGTTGGGACTTAGAAAACATTGGACATGATGGGGACGGTGGTTCTGCCTCCTAAGTGATCCCATCGCACAAGCAAAGAAAAGGAGATGAAGCCCAGCCCAGACAGCAGGAGTGAGAGACGATGAGTGATTACGTGTAGGG